TTTTTTTTTTTTTTTTTTTTTTTAACGCATACTTAAAGGCAACGCGCTTTGTCTCTTTTAGGCAGTTCCAAACCGCTGACAGTAAGCTCTGTGCAAAGAAATCGTCCCGAATAAAAGACCTTTCGGGACTTTGCTTTGGGAAAGTGAGCTGTGCTTGGAGATGGTGTACTGCTGTAGACATAAAATAAAATTTAAGTTAAAAAACGTATATTAAAAATACATAACGGATAAAAATATGTATCTTACAAAACTCTTAACATCTCGAAATAGCGTTAACTGCTTCCCATCCAAATCTCAGCTCCCAACATCCAAAAGGTGCCCGGTTCCCCTTCACCACCGCACACCGAACCCCGCCGAGCCGCCCCGAGCCCTCCGCCCCCACCGCACGCAGCGCGGAGCCGCCCCGGGCTCACAGCGGCGCCAGGCGGACACCGCGACGTTCCCGACTCCGCGGCTGCAGCGGGAGCAGAGCGGCGTGCGGGATCCCGGGCGCAGGTAAAGAGCGCTTCACCCTGTCCGGCAGCACCCGGAGCCCGAGAGGTGCCGTTGCCCGCTGGAGACTGCGGGCTCGGCCGCTTCCGAACGGCCCGGAGAAGGGAAGGGAGAGCAGCGCATCGCGGAGGAGCTCGGAGCTCCCGGGAAAGGGTTAAACCCCGGCCCGGGGCTGCCGGCGCTGCTCGGGGCGGCCGTGCCGCCTTCCTGAGCCGGAGAGAGGGCATCCATCAGAGGCGTGGGAAGGGCGGGAGGGACGAGGGGAGCAGGGAGAGCGCTGTGGGCTCCGGGTGAGTAACGCGTGGGGTTACAGAAACCCCAATGGAGCCAATGGGAGCCTGGACATGGCTCTTTCTTCATATTAGGGACAACGTAATAGAGATCGATGCTGCTCATTTTACATGAAGATAAATTCGTCATCACAAAGATCGCTAAGATCGCAAAGCGGCTGTGTGTTTTTCTCAGTGAAATTAAACTACGTTCGGATTGCACCAGGAGCTGTCATTGCGGCTTTCCTGCCCTTCCGTTCGAGGTTGAGCTGCACAGGACCAAGCACAGAGCGGTGCCTGGGGCATGGCAGAGCTCCCCACGCCTGCATTTCCAAGAACACAAATAAATGGCCGTTTTTATACTTCAGTACATGCAAGTAATTAAAAAAAAAAAAAAAAAAAAAAAAAAGCTTGATACAATGCTGGAGTTGCTCCAAAAGATCAGGCATCTGAACTGAACTAAACAATTCGAGGCAGCCCATTTGTATTTCTGCTGGTTTTATGCCAGAGGAGCCACGACAAATTTGTACTTTGTAAGATATGTTGGGACAAGCTAAATAGATGCTAAAGTCATGGCTTTGCAAAGGACGTTCATGTAACCATACAACCAAATCCCATCCCAACGACACTAGGATGAAATGAATTTCCTCTTTGCCACCACTCAGCTCCCAGACTATGTTTACAAAGGCCAGAATGAAAGAATTGAATAAAATATGCTCTGGGAGGTGAACTGTACTATTCTGTATCATATTGGTGTATGTTGGTTTTATAGCATATATGTATTTATTTTTCACAGTAAGCAGCAAAGTCTCACAGCATTTTGCAGGTGTTGTATTTAACCCCCCCAAAACTGCTACGTTAAACAGATGTGGAAGTTGCTGTGGCTGAAGCTGGGCAGTTAATGTCCCCTCGTGTCGATTACTTCCCATCACAGAAGGGACGAGCTGGGGTTTTGGCTTATGTAAGTAGCCCTACTGCCAGCAGCTCAGCAGAAGTACATTAGTGCTGCTGACAAAATTATGGAACGACAGTGACAGTTCCGATTTCAACAGTTTGCTGTCTGCAGTTCTGATCAGTCAGCAGTGATGGACGAGATCAGAAAGGCTGGCAGTGATATATTTATTTAAAACAAAACAAAAGACAAGCAAACAAAGAATCTCTCACTTTTCTTTTCTTTGGTACTATTAAGAATATATCTTCTAACATGACATTCTTTATACCCAAGACATCCAAGTATAAAATTTGATGCTATTTTTGCAAAACAAAAGATTAAATTGTTTAAGGTTGTAATCTTAAAATTTGCCCACTGAAAATGGTCCCGATTTTCTCTTTTTTTCTTTGCAATTATCTTCAGTAATTAAGTGCACTGCAGCTCCTGATGTCTGACATTTACATTCATAATTAAACTGTGAAAAGAAATTGAATCAGGTAAACGGAAGGCTTGAGTTATTGGTAGCTGCAAGTGTTGAGATTTAGGATGCTTATATTTCCTGATTATTATTAATAGATAAACTTACTTTGAGCTCATTGATTAATATTCCACTCGAAATTTCACTGAAGCATCATTGAAAGCTGCAGACCATAGGAAAAAGCTACCCTCCTTCCAGATCCAAACCAGTCAATGCAATTGTCTTTTTAATGATTACTATTCACCAAATGTGTCGTGGTTTCAGACCTCCCAGTTCATCTACTTGCTTTACTGAGCACAGTTATGTTTGTCTGCCTATAGTGCATCAGTGTCCAGGGCTCTGAACATCTCTGACTTACACTGAGCCACGAGAGAGAACGGAATTCAACCCCTCATTGGATCACAGCTGCCATGGCTAGCAACTGCATTGGAAAAAAATGCTTAACTAAGTTGAGTAATTCAGGTGGGTTTTTGATCCAGTCATTATTACTTGGCCTTGAGATATGCTTAGAATTATCTAATCATACTTCAGCATTCACAACTATTTTATTTGCGTGGTCTTTTGCTGTGGGAATAAAACCTAGGGACCGAATATCCCCTTTCCTCCTCTTTTGTCCCCTTCACTGGCTGTTTTATCTCCACAACACCCTTTGAAGGCTATTTACTGAAAGGATGAGAGATCGGTTATCACGGAGAACCGAAAACTTTAAAAAGAAAGCAGGAATTTCAATAAACCCTCTCTGGAGCTAGATCAAGAACTAGAGATTCTCACTTCTACTGCAAACAACCTGCAAGATCTAAGACAGTTTCTCCCCAGCTCTCACCAGCTTCCCAGTTCCGTTAAGACAGAATGCCTGTTTAAGCAAGTTGGGAGAATATTC